GAAGAAGAAGGAGAAGGAGAAGAAGAAGAAGAAGAAGAAGAAGAAGAAGAAGAAGAAGAAGAGGAAGAGGAAGAGGAAGAAGTTATAGTGACAACTGCGAAACACATGAAATCGTATGTTTGACTCCCTCTTACAAATCTACAACTGTAAGACTAGATCTATTTAAAAGACGGGGGACCTCTGAATCTAATATAAGTCCATCTCCAATAGGACTGAGCCAAAAAGAAAAACAATTGCAAAATGGTGCCTTTCCCAAGAGTACAACAACGGGCCGAGTTAAGTTTCAGAAACTCAAAGGAACAGTTTCATCTAATCACGAGTCTGTAGCTTAACCACTAGACTACGAACGCCACTGTGAACTTGCAGTAAAGAGATGCACATCGGCAAAAATGGTCAGTCAGTGCTGGGTAAAAGTAATTCACACAAATAGACAAAAATAACAGAGGGAAATTGAAGAACTAGGACGTACCAGTGGCGCCCTCCAAAAACAGTAAACTACTAAATTTTAAAATTTGCATACCTGAAGAGAGGCGGTTCAGATCACACAGAGAATAACATCCGGGAATTTCCACTTCAGGGCGATCAAGAAGGTATTCCCGAAGAGCAGCTCCAAACTTCATCGTGTTCTCTGAGAGACATTAAAAAAGCAACAAAAATAGATACTGCACTGTTTGCCATATGGCAGGGTTCGCTCTCTACTTGCATAACTCAATCCAAAACAATCGATCCATTTCACTCAGGATATGCTACCTATTGTAGGTAGTTAACCATTTGCATAGCTAGTTATCGGCGTACGTTATGATCGGTCAGCTGTTCAAATGTACTCAAACCAAATTTTTGATTTTTTGCTGCTTTCAATTGCAGTTTCTTAATTAATCTGTGATAGTCTATTGGCTGCACGTGCCCAAGAAATAATAATTTAGTCGAAAGTCAAATTTCTAAATGTTGAAAAAGCAACAACAACAAAAAACATAGTGTAGGTGCAATTGTTAAAAGAATAAGACCGTTTATTTCTCCCTAATGTAAAATTTTACTTTCAGGATTTAGTACATTTTAACCACCTTCCCAACCAGACCAATTCACTTGCCTGTCACTTTGCCTGCAAGTCTGTCTTTGACTAATGTTGAATGAAGTTTAAGGAAAAACACAGACATTTTTAGTTCAAGTAGAACTTAGGTAAGTGCAAATCAAAAGAAATAGAAACGTTGTAAAGTAAAGCAACCACGTAC